CCCGCCTGTTTAAAGTGTGTGATGTATTAGTGTTAGTAGATTCACAGAGTTGTGGGACTCTCACTGTAGCCAATTTAAGAATGTTTTTATCCCCCAGAAGAGACTCCAGCCCTCTCGGCCAACTACCCATCTGCCTGTCCTTGGATTTGCCCATTTTGGACATCTCACATAAATGGAATCGTACAATTTGTCACCTTCAGGGCCTTGGCTTCTTTCACTTACCCCCCACCCCCACCCCAAGATTCATCTTGGTGTAGCATGAATCAGTACTTCACTCATTATGACTAATATCCCATTAGATGGATTTACTTCATTTCTTTATCCATTCACCACTTGATGAACATATGGGTTGTTTCCATATAAAAAAACCAAACTTGTGAATTAGGTGAAGCCTTCTTGAGAACATTGTTTTACATCCCACAATTCATACACATTGTTTCATCTCGTCCATGGCAACCCCCTCACTGTACCACCGCGCATCCCACTTCCCCCTTCCCATTCCTCCTTTCCTGTCAGTGCTGCCCTGTTGACTGGCTCCCACTTTGGGCTATGATGACTAATGCTGTTGGGAGCCCCTTTTTGTTGGGGATCCTGTATTTGGTTTTGATTTTTGTTTTTAATTACAGAATACATGTCACAAGTATTTGTTGAATTTTTTTTTTCCATTAGAAATCCTTTTAGATAGTGGGAAAGGAAGGAGGGAAAAGATCACTAATTGAAAGTCCGAAGCTAATGTAATCAAATCGTCCTTTCCTTGACTCTGAGTCTCAGTCAGGGACAGCAAGTGGACTCAGGGAGCTTTGCTCCATAGAAAACAATGCATCTCTTTCGTGTGAAAATTGAGTTTAAAGGTGAAGAAGTTATGTAGGAACGTAAGACGTAGTGTCTTGTTATTTGTAAATGTTATGGTCAAAATGAAGCACTAAAAAAAAAATCTCTAAAATTAGACTTTGGAATAAGGGGAGAAAAACCCCAAACGTAGGTACTGAAGACAGTTTCACCTTGGGCTTCCACCTCTTTTTTCCAGGAATAAAAATCATGCTTCGCCAGCCCGTGCCGTGGAAGCACTGGTGGCGTAAGGGTTCCGAGTTGGGCTGCGAGCCACCTGGTCAGCAGCTCCGCAGGAGAAAGACTTTCTACCTGTCACAGGCTCAGACACCCCCCGGGGGTCCCTGTGAGTCAGCACTGACTCAATGGCAGTACTTTTCTTATGACACTTAGATTTATTCAAGTGGGTAGGCCCAAGCAAGGGCCTTACAAGCTTTAGCGTTTTGAAATCTGTCACAGTTTGTTACCTCTAATAGGGTTCCTACCCCGAAGCAGCAGAGACGATTCCTGAAGTCCAATAAAAAGAGACTTTATTAGAAGGTTATGCTAGCAGGGAGATTGACAATGCAGGCTGTCTTGTTGGAAACCCCCTTGTGATTGGAATACACAGAGTTTATATACTTTCAAACTGGAATGTAAAATGCATTTGGGGGAGTCATGTACTTTTCCAGCTATTTTCCATTACTGAAGTCACAACATAATTACAACATAAAAATGTCCCTTATAACAATCAGATAAAACAGTAAGTAACATTTTATGAAGGACCAGCATTCTCCTTCAGTATCTTAATGACCCTCCAGGCCGAGCTGTCTAGGTGGCCCTGCAGGCTGAATCATGCAGACAATTGTACACCATCTGTCTTAGAGCAATTTAGAACGTTATCAAAATTCCACAAAGGCTAGTATGGGGCACAAGGCAGGCATGGCATGGGTTAGGCTAACTGCGAGCCGGGAATAAGTCAACTGCAGTTCACCTCCTTGTGTGTGTGTTTAAAACCTGGGTCATTCATCCTGTAGCATTTCCCAGATTCTGGATTTGGCTGCTTAGGCCCTCCTGGTATTGTTTAGCTGGCTCCTCTATCCCCCATATTTCTTAGCTATGTTGAGACGTGGGTGGGTTCCAGGTCAGTGTAGTTGGCATGACTGTTTCTGAGGTAAGTGTGTACTTCTGTTGCGTGTGTCACAAGGAGCACATCTGCTTGTCCCACTGTCAGTGCCTGCGAACGGATGCGGTGAGTCGGCCTGAGCCGTCCTACCACCCAGTTGCCCAGCATCCCTTCACC